TGATTACATTTTTTTGGTACAATTAACATATGAAACTAAAACTCTTCAAAGTGACATCGTCACGTTAAGCATGACAGGTGCACTTTAAATTTGTCAGACAGATCACAATGGCAGATATTTTGTAATTCACAAAGTAAATGTGCTGAACTAAAATGGATTTGCCTATGTCTTTTAGATGTATATGCACCTATGTGCTTTGGCTAGAATGTGAATGTGACAAAAAAAACAAAACAATAAAATACTCTCAAACACTGTTATTTGACAGTGTAAAGAGATTTTGATCTTTCAAATTTCAAGCCAAAAAACAAAATAAATCTGGAAAACAAAAGCCTTGTTTACAAAGGACCATTACTTCTATCATATCTGCAATGATAAATATATCAAGCTTCAAGAGAAGCAAAGATTCTGTCAGTAGAAATACCTGAAACCGATCTCACACTATAAAAATGTATCGTGAGACATTTTATGGGAACAATAACAAATCAAATTCACATTTTAAGTCAGAATAGCCATGCTGTAAACAACGTTGGCGTTTGAAAGCTTAACAATTTTGGTAAACAAATATAAAATGTGCTGATGTACTCTTTTTAATTAGAGGTTTGGAGAATAGCCATGAATGCTTCTCCTAGCTGGGTTCTGCTCTGTTTACAAGGATTACAACTATCACAATCTCTAAAATAACGAATCTATAAAACTAAAATTTTCTGTCAAGAAAATACCTGCAACTACTCACAGTAATAAACAATGATATAGTCATCATTTAGTGGGAACAATGAAATATTAAGTTAGTTTTTAAAGTCTTTAAGGTAACTTCTGTGCCCTACCTAAATTTTAAAGCAAAATGGAATAAGTGACCAAAAAAAAATAAAAAAATAAATGATAAGCAGCAAGATACACAGTTACACATCTTGAAGGTATTCATCTCAACATTTTAAAAACAAAATCATCTGTACCCTGAAGACCTCTACCTCTGTTTGCCCCTGTGACAGGAGTGGCCTTCAAAACCTAGGAAGGGGACTGACAGGTCGCGGGGTACTGACAGGTCGCGGGGTACTGACAGGTCGCGGGGTACTGACAGGATTCGGGGTACTGACAGGATTCGGGGTACTGACAGGATTCGGGGTACTGACAGGTCGCGGGGTACTGACAGGTCTCGGGGTACTGACAGGTCGCGGGGCACTGACAGGTCGCGGGGTACTGACAGGTTTACACAAGGTCACGAGCTGCCTCATTCTGTCTTTAATATTCCCCGGCCAGCGATAGCCTCGCACACGGATAATGTACGGAAACCTATTTATCCCACACGTGGGTAGCCGTGCCACCTCCCTCCACACATGTCATTACCGGGATCCCATGTCCACAGTCACGGTGCTGCTCGGAGCATTCTGATTGAACCCTCGGTAAAGCCGCCACCACGGCAGCCCACGCCACCTGAACCCATGGCGGCTGCCACACAACGAGGAACCGGCTCTGCTCAGCATCCCGCTCATCACTCCAGGAAACCGGCAGATCATGGGGGCAGCCATGACACCTCACGTGTCCCACACACACACACCACCTGACAGCGGCGGGACTCCCGATTGGTTGTTGAGAGGTTCCCCCACACAGGGCCACGCCCACCAACCTTGAGTCAGTTTCGATTCTGAAATGACCAGCGCACGCTAAACGCTGGTAATTGGAGGGCGGCGTGTGACGTCATCACGCTGGCTCTGTAGCTGGCCATTTAGATGTTGGTGTGTTAGTCCTGATGTGTAGTGCAGGGATATTCACTAAAGCAAGGTTGCCCGAAAGGTAGATCCCCGGATGTTGTAGATTTACAACTCCCATGATCCTTTGCAGGCCTTTAAAATGGCAAAGCATCATGGAAGCTGTAGTTTTAATACATCTTGGGAATCTAACTGTTGGACACTCCTGAACTAAAGATTGAATTTCAAATTTTAGGCCCAAGTAGTTGAACTAAAAGGATAGCTGATGAGAGATTTTTTTTTTTCCTCCCATTCTGGCTATTTTTTACCTGAAATTGTAAATTCACTGTGAATTCTCTGTCACTAGTGACGAGCCCTGTGTTCTGGCTTGGTAGCTTGGCCTTGAAAAGTGTTTTTAATATAAAAATGAACCGTGCACCACAGATAGATATGGGAACAGTATTTCACAGGGTTATTTGATAGACTGCCACGTGTAGTGAGTTGAACGCAGAAGGACAATATTCAGGTCAAAGTAACTCATCTGTGACCATTGCGGAGTTTGGAGAGCTTTGAAATTCAGATTTCAGTTCATTGCAATTCACAGTTTAGTGAATAACAACATAGCGGCAGATTTCCAATTTAAAGCTTTGCATTTGCTTTGCACCTACTGCTACTAATGTCTGCCCACAACTTCTGTCTGAATTGTAGTGTTCAGCTGTGTAAAGCAGTGAAACATATGCTTACTAAGTTATCTTCATAGTTAAACAACTGGATGGTATAAAAGACACACCTGTGCACATTCTGTGTGCCATCAACATTACCAGTTCCGTGCTATCCCCTTTGGCCTCAGCACAGTTCCCAAAACATTCTCCAAGATTTTGGTAGCTTTAATTGCTCACATTCAGCTGGAAGGTATTTCCTTTATCATTACCTGGACGACATTCTAATCCTGTCCAACGACAAGAACTGACTGATTGCTCATCATATTCAAGTTTTTTACATTCTCCAGAAGTTTGGTTGGATTATCAACCTCAAGAAAAGCCAGCTTTCTCCATCTCGGTTGACGGTTTACCTGGGAGTCTGGCTGACACATCCAGAGCTCTTGTGTCCCTAATTTAGAACAGAGGATCCAGATTCTTCACTTCATCTCTCTCTGGTAGGTCCCAGCAAGGAAATGGATGACTCTTCTGGGGAGTTTCACCACTCACCATATTGCTGTATAAGAAACTTGCCTTTCATTGCCCATACTTCAGGCAGGTTAATTTTGTCATTTCAGACTCTTTCCTGCAAGGAAGACAGTGCCTGTCAAAGTTTAGCTCCCCAACATGCAAACTAAAGGACAAGAGAGGCAACCCCAGATAGACGTATTACCGGTCCTTAAAATGGCCGGACATGAAGATAAATACAATATAGGAATATCAGATGAGCCAAAGTCAGGGTTAGAGAAGGAAGAGTAAGCGGTAAACAAAGCCAAGGGTCAAGGAAGCTAGAGATAAGGATAACCAGAAGACAAGCCAAAGTCAGATACCAAAGAAACACAAGTTAACAGAATGCAGTCTCGGGCTAGAAGAAACCACGACAGGGCAAGGAAGTGATGTAAGAAGGAGGTATAAATAGGGCTAGGTGAGATCTGATAGGTTAGGGATAGAATAGGGTAGTATATAAATAGAGAGCAATTACCTGGTACTATCCATTTAAGTATTTCGGGACAAGCCGCGCGCACCCCTGTTGGAAACAGCACGCCCCCAGATGCGCGGGCGCACCCAAGCGCAAACGCTCAATGCTGGCCTGACGTCTGCACAACCCGGCAGAACAGGAGGGACGGTGGGACCAGAGCAGCGCGGGCCACAAGGAGGTATGACAAGTGCCATATTGAGAACTGTTCCAGCATTTTGCCATAAGGTGGTTTTATCCTTTCATGTGAATCAAGATATCATTTTGCCTACATTTTCCCCATCCTTCAACAAAAGAGGAGGAAAGGTGGCATTGTCATTGTCTGGATCTAATTTGTTCTCTCAATTTACTTGGCCTGCACCTCTAGCATCAGGAAGACATTTAGTATTGGGAATAAATTGGCCAGCCTGCTTCTTCCATTTCCATTGGCCGATGGATTGTCTCAGCTATTCGTCAGGCTTATCAAGCTTCTAGAGTTCTGGTGCCATTGGGTCTTCATGCTCATTCCACAAGATCTATAGCCTATTCATGGCCAGCTGCATATTTCTCCTGGCCGCATTTGTTTGTCAGCAGCTTGGCACTCATTTAACAATATTAATAATGATTACTGTTCAGATTTGACTGGATTTTTTTTGCATATAAATAGTTGATAGTGTTTTGGTAAATACTTAATAGTAATTCTTTTTTATGCTATGTAGGCATACAAAACCTTTGGCCCCTGACACCAATTCTGCCTGCAAATTCATGACTCCTTGCTCGCAGAGGTGTAGCTGGGAGAAGGGGGCTGGATCCTGTTGCCCAGGGGAATCAGATGGTGGTAGATGACACAAATTATCAGGGACATAGTGCCAGAATGCCTTACTTCCACAGGCACCAGAACAGAGGCATATGTAGGCAATTGATGGAGAAGTTAGATTGAGCATGGTATAAGAAACCTGCCGGATTTTGTTGCCTGGCTCACAAAACCTGACATTAGAAGGTATAGGTTACAGGTATTTATATTACAACAGAGCAAAAAGCAAAAAACGTTAATATTGCAATTAGGTGAGATGAGCATAGGTCCTTTCAGCAACTAAACAAAATCCAACATCTGAAAACTCTGAAAAAATTGATGGATGTACAAAATAAATTCCAAATATAAGCCAACTAGGTCAGGAGTATAGTGAAGGGGGATAAATACATAGTAAGACCTACAAAGTGGAAGTCTAAATCCAAGAGGATTTTTCCAAAAAATAATAAATAAAACGTAACCTTTAATAGATTCTAGTAAAATCAATCACACACATATACACAATGCCACCACCTTAACACAAAAGTAGTTCTCTAGGATGAAAATTAGTAAGAGCGTGTCTCTGCTTGTGATAAAGCTACGAGATTCCTAACGAAAGGTGGGGAATATTAATGCCCTCATACACTGTATAAGAACCAAATATTTATATAATCCCATTAGAGACAGGGACTCTGAATTAGATTATAGCCATTATCAACTTCCTACGTTCTGTCCGGATATGTAATTCAGTATGTAGAGATTCTGTCAGAACATAGAGGAGAAGTGAGGTAGCAATCACTGCTACAATAGATAGTTCACCTACCCACGTGAGCAACAGGGAAAGGGGAATCAGAGGATAGGGAGTGCAACCGTAATATGGTAATATCAATCTGCAACATAGACAACTACGGCTCTGTTATACCAATATGTCTGTTAAACAGTACTGTAACTACAAGTGTCAAATAGTAGAAATTTGTTACGTTTTTGCAATAATATTGTCAGAATTAGCAGCCAGAGATTGCATGGAATTGGGTTGGATGCTAAACCTTCCTTCAAGGCTTCTGGCTGATACCTACGTTGTGCCTTCGAGGGCACCCCTTATCCAAAAACCTGACCCCTTATTGACTTGTCTTAGTTAACCCATAACAAACCCCCGGTGATGTAAAATATTTGGCAATTCAATAGAAGTTAAATCTGTGAGATTTAGTGGTATGGATAACAGTCTTAAAAACGAGTGTCCCAACTCAAGTAGTCTTGAAATTATTGATCATTTTTAGTGAGCACACTAAAGGTCTGGTAACTTCAAAAAGTGCGCCTGTCAGTGCCCCTGACGCGCGTTTCATTTCGTGGCTCATCAGAGGGTAACCGGACCCGAGAGACAGTCTGGTAAAAAAAGAAGGAAGTGCTCTATGATTGGTCCGTTTCAATTCCGTTTGGGCCAATGAATGTTAAGCTATTTTGTGCTGATAGGTGATTACAACAAACTCGGTATTAACCCTATCATGGGTGAATTAAGTTAACTAGGGTTGCTACGATCCTAATGTCCAAAAAAGTATCATTACAATTATATATAAGTTTACGATATTGTTTAGGTAACCAAAAACGAATGATCAGGTGGATGTAAAGTGTAACAATAGTCTAAAATATGGTACAAGTTAGTTATGATATATTTCGAGTGTACGCCCAAGGGTGAAATAAGTATCTTAGCACAATCTTATTTGAAATGTACATTACTCTCGCACAAAACTGTGCGTCAATTCAAGTGTACACGTTATAGTATCACCATATTAATTACACTTCTCCCTTGATTGATACAGTTTTTAAGACTGACAGTTGTCTCATTAAGTAGTGTAAACGTAATTAGATAACTTTATATGTTATTAATATAATCAATGGTAACCAACATAAGAGATAATATTAATATCTCGGGCTATAAAACATCACAAAAAGAACTTAAAACAAATGTATACACAGATGACATTTTAATTACTAGATTGAAACCAGCTAAATCAATTATTTATATTATGGAACAGTTTGAACAATATAGCCTAGTGTCTAATTACAAGATGAACACCAATAAAACCACATTGTTTGATCTTCATCTGGATGCTGAAGTTAAGGAACAAACTAAGCTATGATTTTTTTTATGGGGAAAAACTCAATTTGAATATCTAGGAATAAAATTAGTACGGGAGGTTGAAAAGATCATGGAAGTTAATTTCCTAGGGATGTTACAATATATAAATAGGTGGCTAAAAGTTTGTAGAAACTTAGTGTTATCTTTTTAGGAAAGTAATCAATATATTAAATTCATATGTAATGCCTAAATTAAATTATATGTTTCAAATACTTCCACTAAATATGCCTGATAACTGGTTAGAAATGATACACAACAGTTTTGCCCAATACATCTGGAAAGGCAAAA